TTCGGCTCAGGTCATGATCCTGGAGTCCCGGGATCGAGTCCCCCATCGGGCTCCCTGCTCGGCAGGGAGTCTGCTTCTCCCTCTCCCACTCCCCGTTTGTGTTCCCTCTCTTTTTGTGTCTTTCTCTGTCAAATAAATAAATAAAATCTTTAAGAAAAAAAAACAAAGAAGGCTGTGGGAACCAAGGAATCTGCAGGGAGGGGTTACCACTGCCAATGCTGGGTAGAACCTATAGAAGGAAGAATTCTCAAGCGCCTAGCAGACCCTGTCTTCATACAATCCATTCTATCCAACCCATTCTGCCCTTCACATTGCACTGCTGATGCTCAACCACCTTTTCACCTGCCAAACTTGGACTTACATTCATTAGCTGACCAAAGAGTTATCACTTAGGGGAGCTGCCTGCCAAACAACAGTTCAGTTTTAGCTGTGTTGCCAGGATATACATATTTAACAAGTTGCTACAATTTCATAAATCAGGAAGAAAAAATCTGAAAAATAAAAGTGTTATACTGCCAACAATCAGTATAAGTCTCAAATTTAATAGGAAAATGACCAATATGGAAATAGGTTCCTAAGACTTAATATAAGCATACCACGTGTTTGGGAAGAAAAAGAAATATTAAAGAACACCTCTGAGATGCTGGAGAGATAATACCGACAAGGTTGAAAGGCACAGGGTAATAAGTAATCTTACAATTTTTTAGGCTCTCAGAAATGAAGCCCTTTTCTTATCACACCAAGGCCTATGGACTGACTTCAGCCTATTTAGCATATTTCATAACTACTTTCAGTCTCTTATATTGGAAATTTATACTTTCTTATACTTTCCGTATCAGGAAATCACTAATGACCTCAGCAAAAAAGTTTTCATTGGAATGGCATTCTAGAGTACATGGAGCTGTTAATAGCAATTAAAGAAGTAGATATTATGAGAATAGTTTCTTATTTTAAGAATCTCTGTTAAACAGTGATGTAAAAAAAATTAAGGTGGGCGGTGCCTGGGTGGCTCAGTCATTAAGCGTCTGCCTTCAGCTCAGGTCATGATCCCAGGGTCCTGGGATCGAGCCCCGCATCGGGCTCTCTGCTCATCGGGAAGCCTGCTTCTCCCTCTTCCATTCCCCACCCCCACCCCCGCTTGTGTTCCCTCTCTCGCTATCTCTGTCAAAATAAATAAAATCTTTAAAAAAAAAAAAATTAAGGTGGTAACCTGAAGGAAGGTTAAAATAAGACATTAGAGCAGGTTTTCAAGACTGAACAGAAGGAGCATGTGCAGGGAAGAGAATAAGGCTGAAGACATGGGAAAGAGAGTTACCAGTGACGCAGGAAGCAGATTATTTTCTAATTTAGAGAAGGGAAGTAATGTGGCAGAAGTTTAACTATAGGCAATGGAGAGGTTAGCTTACCAAGGATAAAAGATTAAGGTATAATTATTTTTGCGGACAGGTTAAAAGAATGAGCTGGGTTTGTCTACGAAATCTTGTGGAGCTAACTGACCTGAATAGCATTTTAAAGGAGAGTTTATGCTAAGGCAGACCAGATGACAATCATTCTATAAAAGTGAGACAGAATGCCCCTATAACCAAAATGTGGTGATCCATCCAACTTTTCCAGGACACCTAATATATCTGGAGGGCAATAAAATTTCATAATATGGTTTGGTTAATGATAAACAGGTTTATTTATCTTCAATTAAGACTCACTTTAGGAGTTAAAAAATGGGATTTCTTTGATTACCTTATAAGCAGACTTAAGTAAAAACTCAGTTTCCAATTTAAAGAAATTGTGATGACTTGATTTTCAATTCAGCATCTACTATCAGTAAAAATATTAGTCACTTTATTTTACCAAGTCATTAAGGAAAAAAAAAAAAAAAAATCACACAGACACTTTACCAGAACTAAGATCAGGATCAACTAAAGAAGTAGTTGCCCATATTATGCAACAAAACCTAGGTAAACAAGTCATAAGAGAGTCTGTTTTTTAAGAAGATCAAAGGAGGCAAAAACAAAAGGTTTTCCCCCCTCCAAGCTGCAAGACCAAAATATGGAAGAAATGGAAATAAAACTCCAAGAAAGCTAAAGCTGTCATCTGCAGGTGTTGAGAGAAAGAAAGAGGGACTACTTCCAGGAAGGCAACGGGAGCTCCCGTAGTCCTGGTAAACCCCCACTACAAATACACTCACACACACTCTGTCAACTAGCCATAAACAGACAACAGTACTTCAGTTATTCTTACCTAATACCTGGTAGTGTTCTTTCTCCTTTGTGAGCTGTTGGTTTACTGCCTGAAGCAACTGCTGTAACTGGGTGACAGTCTGATTTAGACTTACAGACATTGTCTCCTTCTCCGAAGACTCCTAAAAAGAAGAGGAAAGTGATTAAAAAAACTCCAAACATAAGGAAAAGGCATTTGCAACCTAAAACAGAAAATATTTTATTGTTTTAAATACAAACATGAAAAATCTTGAAAATGACATAAAAATTAACAAAAACCACATACAGAAACAGTGTTTACTATCTAGTGATGCAAATTAGGTTGCACCAAAGAAAGCTATGTTATGTCACTAGGCCAACAAAGGCAAAAATCTAGAGCCTGTTTAGTAGTTGTAAATCCATTTCTCCTTTCAGAAAAAAAAATCTGCCAGACACCAAAGGACAGCACATTTATAACAGTAAAAGTAAGCTCACATATATTGAGCCCTAAATGCTAGGCAGCACTGTTTTAAGTGTTACGCACTATTCTAAGTGTTTTAGATAGTAACGCATTTCATTTATTCCCGTCAACAATCCTCACAGGATTGGTACTATTATCATTGCCTTTCACAGATGGGGCAACCAAAGCACACAGAGGCTAAGGAAAGTTGTCCAAAGTCACACAGCTACTAAGTAGCAGAGTCAGGATTCAAGCACAGGCAATCTAACCAAGTCCACATTCTTCAGCAGTATACCATAATACTTCCAACACAAACATTACAATTAATGTACTATCTTACAAGCTCAAGTGAAAACAAACATTAATAAAAACAGTGCATTTCAGAGATAAAATATCTGGAAGAAAAGATGACCTTCAGTAAGAATGCAACATAACTGATGGAAGTACATTACAAAGGCGTTTTTTTTAGTCAGAAACAGATCTAGCACATTTTTATTCTTCATGTAATTTACAAGGTAATTAGCCTGGAGATCTGGGGTAAAAGAAAATACATACCATTTCTGGGGAAACATCACTATTCTCAATAACAGTAGTGTCTCCAGCAGCTTTTACTATTTTTGACTGGATAAGATCCAGTGACTTTTGAGCCTGTAAGGAAAAGCAACATGGTAGCCTCTAAATACTACAATGGAGTATTATGAGAAAAAAAAAAAGTGATTTTAACATATTTTTTACAAGATTAAAGCTCATCTCAAAATACAATGGAAAGCCAATCTATTCAGTTTTTTCCTCCAAAATTAAAAGTTTCCTCCTTGACCAGATTATAGAAACATATGCTGTTTTAAAAAGTTCAAACAACAGAGAAAAATGTATAAAGAAATTAAAAGAAGAAATAGCCAGAGTTGATATTTAGGTTAACATTAGTCTAGATCATGCATCAGCCAAATCTGGCCACAGCCTGTTTTTGTATAGCTCACAAGCTAAGAGTGGTTTTTACATTTTTAAAGGGTTGTGTTAAACATACAAAGAAGGGTATGTGAGAGAGACCATATATGTCCCACAAATCCTAAATAGTGGCTTTGCTCTGACCCTCTTGTCCAGATCCCTCCTGTATACATATAAGTGCTAACAAAAAATTTGGGCAGAAAATTTCATATAAATGGGCTTTTAACATACCTGCTATTTTATACGTGCTTGTTTTACGAAGTATTTTGTTAACTTTTTATATCAATAATTATTTATGTACATTTCTAATCAAGTGTTGCACAGTATTTCTGGTCTACAGATAAGGGGCAGTCACTGTCTTCTACTGTTGTATTAGCAATCATAAATAACACGGCACATCCATATCTTTGAGCACCTGTTTAATATCCTTAATACCTGAAACACGAAACTGCTAGGCTAAAAATGCATGTTTTATATTGTGATCAAGAGGTCAAAAATTAAAATCACCTATATCAAAGTAAGTCAGATTGCTCATCCTTGACAATGTATCATGAACCTACTTCTGAAACAAACATCCTGAGTTCACATTTTATCTACTGGTAACAGTAACGCCAAAATAATTTGAAGCAATTCTGGACTCCTACACTTATTTTTTCATCATGCTAAATGTACTCTTAATGGATTCCTAGACTTTTACGTAACAATTAGAAGCTGTATCATACAAAACAAAAATATTTCTTCCAACTTTTAAAAAAGTGACATATTTGTTTTGCTAATGACTCCCACAAACCACAATCATAGCTCTAAAGCAGCTTTGATAAGCATGTGACTTGCACTATTAAAACTATCTAACAACAGAATTACAAATAACTTGCCATCCTAATGTAGAGAGTAAGAAATGTAATCTTAAAAACTCCCTATTTATAGATGAGATTAAGAAAGTGTATTTCCACAAAGAAATAAATGAAAGGTTTTTCTGAAACATCAGAGGTCTACACATTTTGAATCTATAAAAATCAAAAGAAACATACTTTGTAAGCAACTACATAAGAAAATCCCAACAAAACAATACATGGATGTAACCAAATTTTTAAAAAAGAGTACCTTCAATTGCATTTAAAACTTAATCTATACTTTATAAAGCAATTACTTATATAAATGTATTGAAATAATGAAGCAAATTAAGAACAATCGAAAAACAAGCCAAAAAGTTTAGTTCCAAAAATGCAACTGTAAAACAGTTTAAATTTATAAACACGTTAATATGCAAAAAAACCAAATCCAGAATTAGCAGTATGTTTACTTAAGATTCAAGGCACAACATAGCATGATATGGCATCTTCAAGACAAGCAGTGTCTTACCTTATGCAAGTCACCAGCTACCTTCTGTCTTTCACTTTGTTCAGTTCTAAGCTTTGTGAGTGTTTCATTTAACTGTGTCTTTAACTGTAAAAATAAAGGAATACCACAATTAACTTAATTTGCATCCTTCTTTGATTGTGCTGAGACCTCTAGAAGAATGAATGAGAAAGAATGGGATTGCTAACAGTTATTATGCACAGTGGATTAGCCAATATGCTGCACCAGATGTATAGAAAAGCTAAGCAGTGGAGGTTCCCATCTGGAAAGCTAAATATAAGAAAAGCTACAGAAACAAACTAGGGTGCAGAGGAGAAAACTGTAAATGTAAAAATAAAACCATCACATTCCAGTAAAGTGCCTTTTAAAAGTATTACTATTCATAAAGTACTTCATCCATATTTAAATTAAATTAAAAGGCAAGTAGCCAGAAATTTTACTCATTAATTTTTTAAGGCCTTCTGACCTATACAGTTAAGAGTCAATTGTGTAATATTTTAAAAGACATTGAATGGAAGATTACAAATCCAGTAAAATGAAAACTTCAAAAATTTAAATGTTGATCATCCTTTAAAACATCACTAAAGAGATCAGTGCAAGACCATAAGGGCCTAATTATACAATATGCGATGTCTTTTTTTTTTTTTTTTTTATTTTATCATGTTTTGTTGAGGCAATGTCTTAAGATAACAATTCTCAAGAACCAATTTGTCCAAACAGTTATAAAGTTCTATAAACTCTAGTGCCAATATATAATGCCTCTTCTCATGATAAATGCTCCAATTAAATATGAATGAGGGAAACGGACTACACTGACAATAACTTTATTAAATTCATCAAGTTAATTGATTTTGCCTCACACCAACAGGCATACCATCCCAAACAGTTTCTGGAGATCCAAAAGGGAGAAATATAAGATACTAACCTTTCAAACTGGAGAAGGAATTAGTGAGGGACATTCCATTTGGAAATTTTATTTGGAGAACTCTCTAAATACCCAAATGCTTCAGTTTTTGCTCTTTCACTTAACTCTATTTAGTACATCAGATAATTATTCCTTTGACCCCCAAACATACAATGTATGTATAAGCAAACAAAATTATTTTATCTTAAAATGTGGCAACAGTTATCCTGAGCAAACAAGCAGAAAGACTAAAATAAAGATTACAAATTCAAGGCAAAAATAAGAAACAAGTACCATTTAAAATGGCCCCTTAACAGAAGTAAAGAGGCAAAAATACAAAGAGAACATTAGGCTGAAGTCAACCATAATCCTATGGGTTTGATGCTACTGCTGGGGTCAGCTTTGACCAAGCACCAAAGTTAAAAGTAATATCTCCAACAAACGGAGTTAAAAATGACTTTTTAAAAACACATTACAGGGTGAGGTTTATAGCTTGTAGCTATGGCCTAATCACAGTCCTGATGTGTGCAATATATAAGCAAGCATATGTATAAAACTAGTCACACCTTGCAGTGGCAATGATTCAATTAAATAAAATGAAGATAAGTAAAACCAAAATTTTATTTCAAAAATAAAGAGGGGGGGCTCTATGTGTACTTTTCAAAGAGCCCTCATTCCCATAAATCATTGCCATAATACAGAAGACCAACCACAAATGAATGAGTTAAGAAGTTTTCTTTCTTAGTACACACAGCAGTACTAAGAAAGTTCCAAACTAGGCAGGGTTAACTTGGGGTAAGGAGAAAACTAACTACAATCTTCCTAGAGTTTATTCAGATACTTTCAATTTAGTCATGTGTTGTAACAATTTTTCAGTCATAGAAAGACAAAATGATTGTTTAAAACATACAATGAGCTAGTCATATTTATCTAACAGCTAAGCTTGCCAGAAGGAGTGTAAATTTCCAGAAATTTTAAGAATGGGAATACAGGGTACTCTATGTCATTATAAGGCATTTAGCTAACCTTAGTTATCGTTAAGTTTTAGAATTACTATGCTCTAAATGTTATGCTGATGAGAATTTCACAAGCTTTTTGTTATCTATAATCTATAGAAAGACCAGTTAAATTAAGAAGCTGGAATGAATTATTGCCCTTGAATGAAGAATACGTATCTTCAACCTTCAATCATCTCCTTCCAGGTTAGAAAATAAGAGGTCCAGTTAACTATCATAACTCTGAGAAGAGAATCTTCACAATTTAGGCTATCTTTATCTATTTGTTTCACTTCTTTATTCACTAAAAATAATACTGCCCAAGGAATTAGGTTTTATAAAGCATGAATTTCTTTCTGGAAAAGAGTTGCAAGCCAAACATGCCATTGTTAGGAGCTAAGAAAAGAGGGATCATCTTAGGAGTCAAGAAAAGAAAGATCATCTTAGGAGTCATCAGAATACGAAGATTATCTTAAACTTACAAAAATGCCAAGCTAAAGATGTTAGCAAGGAGAAAAAGTTTGGATGGTTTCTCCACATGTCAACACAAGTGTTTTCAGAGCCTACTTGATACCCAGTGGAGAACAAGCTTCTTACCAAATTTAGCTCTTCATTCTGTCTTACTGCTTCAGAATATGAATCATCAAGTTTTTTCTGCAATTCAGTCAACAGATCTTTCAGCTGCAATGAAGTTTAGAGTTTAAGATTGATCTCCTTATGATATCCCATGTTTTGTACGCTACTTGGAGGCTCTGCCATAAACAACTTACACTGAAATATTTTATCATTACTATAAACTTAAATTAAACTGAGAAGCAAAGTCAAAAAAATTCTAAGTACCTCTCTGACTTCTGTAACATAGGTAGATCGTTCAATTTCTGCCTTCTCTAGTTCCATTTCCAAATGCTCTCGTTCTCTTCTCAGCTAGCAATGCAACAAAGAAAAGTTAAATTTAAGAATTCCTTTCATGATGCTCCCCCACAATGGAAAGTTATTACACTTACAAATATAACACAGTATCATCTCAAACACTACCCAAGATATTCTTAAAAGCGTAACAACTACATCATTAAAGAAATCTTAAAACACAGATCTTAAGACAACGCTTAATGCTAAAAATGAGTCCACAGGTTGTAAGTCAAGCGATGAAATAACATACATTTTCAATGTCTTTATTTTCTCTTCTTAATCGCTCTAGCTCTTGTTCTGAAGATGTGAATGACAACTGCATCTGAAATGTGAAACAATTATATGACCAAGTAAATCAAGAATACAGAGCTTCTATCTTGTAGAATTTTAATCAGACTCTTCAGAGGTTTTGAAATGCATCTCATTTTAAAGCCACACTGAGTTTCAAAAGACCCTGAAAATGAAAGCAAGACATTTAACTTGATTTAAATTGTCGTCAAAACCTATCCCATTGGCATGATATTATATTAAGGCCCAGCTAGAAGTGCTTATTTTTTTTTTCTTAACAACCAACTAGTAACTGGCTATCTTTAATCCCCAAATGCATTAACATAGAATACCACCAGCAATGCTAAATTCTGCACAGGTTGGCCCAGGAAAACAAGTGAGCAACAGAGGACACTCTTTACTTTCCCTTTATTGTAATATATTTTTATTAAAGTATAATTGGCATATCATATCCTGTTAGTTTTAGGCGTACATTATAGTGATTCCATACTTTCATACATTACAAAATGATCCCCACAGTAAGTCTAGTTACCATTTGTCACCATACAAAGATGACTACCACACAGATGACACTCTTTACCACAGTCAAGTAAATGGGAGAAAAATTAGGACTGCCCAAGAACATTCAGATCACATGAACAGAAGGACTCATTAACTTTTTCTTGAATACTATATCATGGGTCACATATCAACATTGCAAAGCTTGCTCTGAACCCCAAATTCTTTGCCTTATTTTATCGCACAGTAGTTCTACAACTTCCAAAGCATTTTACATTCTAGATCACTACCTTAAATCACACCCTAAACTACTGATTCTCAAACTTGGGTGGGCATTAGAATCAGTTGTGGAAGCTCTTTAAAACACAGACTGCTGTCCCCAGAGTTTCAGATTCAGAAAATCTTGGGTGGGGCCCAAGAACGAGCATTTCTAACAAGTTTCCAGGTTCCTGATGCTGCTGGATCCAGGGCCCACACTCTTGAGAACTACTTGCTCTATGCTTTTTTAGATACCTGTTTAATAGTCTTCTGTGATTCATCAACTTTAACTTTCCATTTATTTTCTTCTTGTTCCACACTTCTCTGTAGCTTCTGTAAAATTCCTTCCTACGGGCAAAAGTATAGTTGTTTTGAAAAATTCATGTTCTAATGACAAGATAAACTATTTAAGCCACTAAGGAATAAGTTAATAATTTAAAAATAAAACCAAAATATAGATTAAAAATCATTTCCTACTGTTTCTGCTAGGACGGATTTATATTTTTCACACTCGAGCTGTAACAATGTGTGCATTTCATCAGCTTCTTTCAACTTGTGCTCTAGAACCTACAAAGAATGAAATAAAGAAAAATTCTCTAGTTTTACCAGTTTTGTGTGCTTCAAATTTGTTGCAATATTTAATGGTATGACAAATGGTTTCTAACTGTTTTATAGTAAGACACTACATTTCAACCTTCTTAAGCAGCAATCAAGTTCAATAACCTTTTTGATCATTCAGTCTTTACTAATAAAACTTCCTGAGTCTGATTACTACAAAATATATTACACAATTTATAATAGGCTTATCACTCTTTAGCAGGATGGTAAAATCAAAGCAGAACCACACGTGAAGTCAAGTCACAACACCTATGCTACTCACATATGGAAAAGAGGATTTTATTCATGCCACTTGAGATACAAAAAAATCTTCAAAATTTTAGCAAAGATAAAAACACATCTAGATTCTGAACACTCTTAATGAGGTATTTGGGGATGCTTTAGCAAACCAGTCAGTTTCTACCTACCTACCTCAACTGATCTTTACTTTTTAAACCCAGGCTAAAAAGAGAGTAAGAGATAGTTAAATATACAGTTTTAGAAATGATTACGATACAGAGTTAAAGAAACAGCAAACATTAGCTTTGTATACTTATCAAATGCAATGAAGACTTGTAGCATTTCTATCAAAATTTATACAAAATGAAATCACCTTCTTACACTTTCTCAAAAGGTCATTATTATTCTATTCATAATATGTACTTTATCTTTCCAAGCTCTTAAAGACAATTCTGATTTACTTCTTTCTTCCATGTCTGGTTACAACACAGATACTTCATTTCTTGAACTAACCTTAACGTCCTCTGAACCTGAAGTTTCAGCCACACATTCTTTTGCCTTCTTTTCAAATCCATGCAACCATTCACTATAACTCTGTAAAAAAGAAAAGTCAAAATAACCAATCTCCAAAAATATCTAAATGAAATAGGTAAAACATTTGAAACCACCAAATTAGATGACTATGAAAAAAGCCTACAGACAAACACCACCTTTCTGGAAATTTCAAAGAACATAACTGCTGCATAAATTGTACCTACCCCAGCCTTGAAAATAAACATTGAAAATATACCTCTGTATTACCACCAAAATCACATCTTATTTACCTTGACCAAGGATATCTGCAATTGAACTCTGGACTTATATACAGAGATCTGGGCTCACTTAATTCCAGCCTCTACCACTTACTAGTGCCAGGACGAGTACATTCAATCTTTAAAACAGAGAAAACTGAAAATAAATTACTTTCAAAACTTTACTCAGGTAAACCATTTCTCAAAAACTAAGTATTCTGGGGCGCCTGGGTGGCTCAGTTGGTTAAGCAACTGCCTTCGGCTCAGGTCATGATCCTGGAGTCCCAGGATCGAGTCCCGCATCGGGCTCCCT